GGATCTAGCTAGTTCAGTGTTTCTTAAACTCTTTAAGACTGAGGAACACCAAAAAATAACTTTTTCTTTTATGAGGAACACCAAGAATTTTTGGTGGAGAAAAAAAAAGTCGGGGGGAAAACTATTGGGGGAAAAAAAGGGGTGGATAGATGGGGGGGGGGAAGTGAATGTGGAGGGGAAGAAAGGGTTGGGGGAAAGTTATTGAGCCAAAACAAAACAAAAAAGTCGCCTGCCTATTTAAGGGCCGCCATTTTGAACTCTGTTCTCCATGGCACACCTCTGACTGCCTTGCAGCACACAGTTTAAGAAACACCGATCTAGCTCAAGTTATAATTGCAGTGAAGCTGTGGCAGCATGGGCAACTACTTGAGGACACACTTAAAATATGCAGCGGGCTTGTACAGCCCATGCTTCCTCAGCTTTGAGGTTTGCTATCACCCAGGCTAGATTTTGCTAGCTTGAATGTGTCTGGTGGTGGACATAGAATTAGTAGGGTCTTGTGCTCAGCTTCATTTTTGCCTCCCCCTTTGAGACTTACCTAAGAAAAAGAACATTGTCTTATCTGCACTCCCCCCCTCATTTTTTCATTTGTTGTTTTTCTTCTCCCTCCTTTTCTGTTGTAAGTAATAGGAAGTAAACAAGAATAAAGTGAGGTACCTTGACTGGTTTTTGTAGTTAAACTTTTCGCCCCACACATCACTTGAAAATTGCTGAGGGTGTTTGGTGGACCACTTCCTGATCTTTTCAAATGTGGTTTATACCATTTGCTAACTATCGTAAAGTTCTTTGGTTAAGAGTGACTTATATAAAAAAACCTTAATTCTTCCTCCGTCCATCTGTGTGGAGTTCTCGGACCACAGTTTGAGAACTTCTGGTCTAGATGAAAGCTTGTGTTTTTCATTATGCTCACATGAAAAAGTGTAAAAATAAAACACAGATGATCATAATTTTTTTATTATTTTCCTCAGCATGACCTGTAGGAGGAGCAAAATCAGCTTGACAGAACAGCATGCATGAGGATTGTCTCTGGACAGACAAGGAATTGATCAAAATAACGTCCTCTAATCTGTTGTTGGGGCCAAATCATGTTACTATTGAAATCAAAAGGGTTTGCTATTGAATTGAATGTGAAGAGGCTGTGTTGTTTATAATCACAGGTATCAAATCATGTGAAAGAGTCAGCAGACATCTGATCTTTGCCCTTTGCAAGGGAGAAACCAGCAGTCAATGAGGCTAGAAGAGTCTCTGTACAGTACCCAACTAATTTCTCTCTCTTTCCCCCTCCCCCCCCAGCAGCTCACAACCCCCCCCACCCATGCCCCCTCTGCTCTTTGGGGCTCATCCCTCCCCATCACCCACACTGCCCCTCCTCTCTGTGAGCCCAGTGAAAACCAATCTTACCCTGATCCAGGACTGTGTGGTATAATGAAGCTTGAAGGTAAGTCCTTGGACATCTATGCTCCTTGGTGCAGCAGAAGTGAAATTTCCATTGCTGTCACCCTTGAAGTGCCAGAAGGAAGCAGAAGGTGAGAGAGGACTCCCCTGGGCAGGTAGTGAGCCACTGACCAGAAGGAACCAGGAATCTAGCACCACCTGGGCTGGAAAAGATCAGAGGTGAGCCCTAGAAAGGGGTAGTCCCTGCCCAGGCTGAACTGCCCCAGCCCTCCCCCTGCAATCCCCACTGGCCCCTGATGGGTGGCTTATCTTTCTGGGTCCTCAAACATATATGTCCCACCTCTTCCCTTTCTGTGTGGGGAAAAGTCCATTAAGTCAAGTGTAGACAGTGCTGGTATATTCCAGGATCTGTTGTGAGTTAATTGTTTTTTAACGTGCCACTCAGTTTCACTATTGACTTGTCCCTTGTCTTCAAGTGCTGGCTAAATACCTTGCAGGCATTGCCATAAGAGCAAACATAAACCTACTGCACAAAAATGGAAAATGTTCTTTGCTTTGTGGCTCCAGTGTGGAGGCCTCCATGTCTGAAAATATGTGTGTGTGTGTTAGCACACTATTACTGCAAAATGGCTTACTTTCTCATTCTTACCATATACAGGTTGAACCTTTCTAGTCTAGCGATCTCTGGTCTGGCAACGTCCATGGTCCAGCATGATTGTGGTTAGCTGGGTGTGGCCAAGTTTCCTTCAGTGTTAAATTGGAAAAAGAATCACAATTTGCGGTACGCGAATTGCGTGGGTTTCTTTTTTTCCTATTTACTTTGAAAGAGGCTTTTTCAAAATTTGGTGCTGTGTAGATGTCATCAAATCATGGAAAAAAGTGCTCTTTTGACATATCCCTTATGTTTATGGTGATGGTGAAAGAGCATGTCCGAAAATTTTCGAAAAAGCAGACTTGTTCCGGAAAAGCAATGCCGAATCCAAGGGATACTGAGGTATCCTGGAAAAGCAATGCAGTCTAGACGTAGCCTTCTAAAGTTTGTTTACAGGCCAGTCCTGACTCTCTGTGTTATGTGCTGTTACCTAGCTCTACTTTACCCCTAATTTCTTCTAAGAGCCCTGTAAGCAGTGGAAGAGTTGGTAATGCTGCTAGACAATATTGACCTCCCATGATTCAGCCAATTCTGTGGTTCGGCATTGGTCAGGTCCTGAAGGTGCCAGGTGTAAGAGGTTCAACTTGTAATTATAAAATATATAAATTGAAAAGTAAATATTGTACTCACATTTTAGTGTATGGTATATAAACCAATATACACAAACCATTGTCTGTATGAAATTTTAGTTTTTACCCACTCTGCTAGTGTTTTGTATTCAGCCTTTTGTAAAACTAGGCAAATATCTAGATGAGTTGATACGCCCTGTGGAAGCTGTGTGTGACCCGAAGGATACGTATATTCCCGGTTGAGAATCAATGGTTTGAAGATATTGCACAGAATCTCACTCTTAAACTAAAAGTGCTTTGCAACTGTGTATCAATTGAGCATTGCAATGTCTGTGTGAGGTAAGGAAATATTACCTCATTTTATAGGTGAAAGGATAGAGATGCTCCAGATACCGAAATTTCTGAAGTGACCACTAATGTTAGGTACACGGCTTGCAATAGTTCTGATTGCCTGGGGTGCTAGGCTTGCACAGTTGTACTTCAGATCCATGAGAGTTGCAGATATCTTCACCTCAAAAGTCAGCTTTCAGTTTGGCCACCCAAAAATTGACACACCAGAAATAAATCAGTACTTCTGAGTGTTCACTTAAATGAATTGCCCTAGACCATATGAGGTCTGTGCCACAGCTGAGAATAGAAAACAGGAGTTCTAACTCATCCTCAAAATGTCCTCATCTTCCAGCACCCAGACAGATTAATTACTTGCACATGCTTTGATTAGGTGTTTTGTCCTCAAACCCATTTTCCTGCACCACAAATGATTATTTTATTACAAAAAGATTGTCAGCCCCCTCGGACCTTGAAAATAATAGTTTGGAGAGTGACCCACTACCCAATTGAAGATTTATGGTGAATAAGAATGTGAGAGGGAAGAGAGACAGGGCTGAAGCAGATGGCAGTACGAGAGAGCAAGTACGATTTTTTTTTTGTGGCGTTGCATATTAATTAACTTTTGGATAATTATAATACCTGGCTACAGCCATTGTATGTAAAGTAATTAATACATTACATATCAGAGGTGGATTATAACACATAATGAAATGATATTGAAACCTATATTATGAAATGTACAACCATTACTAGGATTTTAGGATATCAATTTTTACATGACCTTTCAGACATCTATTTAAACTCTTTATATTAACCAAACCTCTCACTTCCTAGTAAAATCTTTAGGAAGTGGTCATTTTTTAAACTTAAAAACCAAACCAATATGCTACATAAACCAAAGCCTCATGCCCATTTTGGTTAATTGACTTAGAAAGTATTTAATTTTATTTCACTAGGATCATCAAACTGAGAGAAAAGATGGGTCAAAAAAGAGTATCAGGAAATGATTGTTGTAAATAAAGTTATATTATTTTGAAATCCATTAAAAAAACAGATATGGTCTCTGTCTATTGCCTTATTGTTATGCTATATGACTAAAATGAAACCTTACATAATGTTAGCACACTGTGTTGTTTGAGAAATAAAAGCAAAGTAGTTCAAAGTTTAAAAAAGGGGCGGTACATAGCTGATTTTCAATACTAAAAATGAGAAAATATGAGCTTTTATAACTTTTTACAGTCAGTTTTTTAAATTAAACTTTTTTTCTTGGGGACGTAGCTGAACCATTTTCCTATTTGTTTGTACATCACCAGGCATGCTGGGGCCATTGATCAATACCACAATACAAAGAATACATTATTATTTTAATGTTTCATGAAAGCAACAAAAGCAATATGGCGAGCCTCTGGTGCAAAATAATCTCTTGGATGTCCATTGCATGTGCTGCAACGATTATAGTCTGGTGGAATAAGTGTATTTTATGTGTTAAAGCTACAGAGTTCTAATCCCATTCAGGATATATATTTATTACAAAATCTTCATTACATTCTCCTGGTATTTGATACTGTGCCTAGTTTTATTAATTCCTTATTACCTATACAAGAGTAGCAAGGTGAGTTTTAAGGTAAACTAACCCTTGGGGTTTTTTAATGCTTTTTATTATCTTTTGCATTTGCTTAAATATTAAATGTAAAAGTGACTTTGAATAAAGACATCTTCTTCTGATTATTTTCCACTAACCTATATATATTTTATAAGGAGTATCAGTGGCATACCATCAATGTATACAAAGAATGCCTTATGTTTCGTAGGATGGCTTTACCTGTAGCTGATTCTGTGTTACCCTCAAATGGGCAAGAAGGTGCTATCATGCAGAACAAAATAGCATCTTCTGTACAGCCTAATCTCATACGCTCGGTATGTACAAGGTTTGGCTTGTGAAGGATACCATTTTTCATACAAGTGTACGATTTAAAAATGTCATGGCATGCCATTAAGAATAAGGCACAAATACTGTCTTGATTTTTTTTTTTTTGTCTTTTTTGTCCTCGTAGGGTAACTCTATGTATGTTCAGGCAGCAGAACCAGTGAACATACCAATGAAAAATTCTTTTCCGTCAAGAGATGATCAGCTTCTGGCTCTACAAAACACAAGTGAATTTGATGTGCTTGTTATAGGAGGAGGAGCAACAGGCTGTGGCTGTGCATTAGATGCTGTTACAAGAGGTGAGGTGTGAAAGTATAAGTTTATTATACTGGTACACGTACAATGAAAGTGTATGCATGAAATTTCATATAAACTAATGAAACTGGATTTTTTTCAAACACATAGTTGGTTTAAAATGGGGAACCTGTTCTCTTCCCCGCCATCACCTGAAGACAACATAATGTAACTGTTGTCTTTGAATCTCAATGGCTATCAGGCACTCAAAGGAAGCTGAGAGTCATATTTTGCTGGAACAGCTGAAGCTATATAGAAGCACATTCTTCCACACCATATCAGGAGTTCATTATGATGGGCTTACCCACTTCCACCCTCTGTTAGTTGTGTATATCTTTAATTTAAAATGTCCTCTTGCACAAATCTTGATGACAATTACAGTAAAGAAAGAAGGAAAAGCTATATGATAGTCAGCAGCCAACTTTATTCGTAGCAGGAAGGGCTGGGCATGAATTCTATGTGAGCAAACAAATATGGTGCCAGGAAGTCCCCTGTTTTTTTTGTGTGGGGGGTTGTAAAATGTTTTCACATTTCATAGTGACTGATTTGATCACAGAGGTAGCCTTGTGACTTTCACCTGATATACTGATCATACCACTGAGCACTGCCCACCTGCCCTCTGAGGTGTTCCACACCCCCTCCCATTCTACTGGGACAGAAGTTCTGGTTGCCCCTAACCAAGACACAGTGTTGTGGTAACAGCCACCCAGCAGAGTAACACACATGCTGAACCAGCTCAGCTCTTGGAGCCCTCATCAAAATCGCAAATCCATCTTACCTTGCCTAAAAGTTTTACACAGAGAAAGCTCATAAGTTTGCCCACTTCATCAATGAAAGAGTGATGCACAGTGGCTGCTCCCTTCTTCTCCCACTTGGTAACAATTATTTATGCTGGGTTTGATAATAAAAGAGAAGTAGGATTTGAGTGATTGAAAAGTAAAAACAGACATATCAAATGAGTTACTAAGCCAAAATAAATAAAACACACCAATTAAATCTAATACACCAAAAGAAATTGTTTCAAAGTATATTCCTCACCTTTGTCCTTATTTCAGGTAAAATGTTTCAAGACAGAGTTGATTTTTTTTTCTCTCTGACCTGGGTCTATAGCTTTGTGTCCTTAGAGGTTTTTGTTTTCTGGCTTCTTCATAGAATAATAGAACACTAGAATTGGACAGGATCCCAAGAGATCATCAAGTCCAGTCCCCTGTCCTCATTGCAGGACCAAGCACAGTGTATGTCATTCCTGATAGATGTCTGACTAATCTGCTTTTAAATATCTCCATTGATGGAGATTCCACAACCTCCCTAAGACAATTTATTCCAGTGTCCAACCTAAACCTTCCTTGCTGCAGTTTAAGCCCATTGCTTTTTGTCCTATCATCAGAGGCCAAGGAGAAGAATTTTCCTCTCTGCTCCCTGTGATATTCTTTTAGATACCTGAAAACCACTATCATGTGCCCTCTGTCTTCTCTTTTCCAAACTAAACAAGCTCAATTCCTTCAGCCTTGCCTCATAACTCATGTTTTCTAGACCTTCAATCATTTTTGTTGCTCTTCTCTGGACCTTTTCCAATTTCTCCATCTTTCTTGAAATGTGGTACCCAGAACTGGACACAATACTCCAAATGAGGCCTAATCAGTGCAGAGTAGAATGGAAGAATGACTTCTTATGTCTTGCTCACAACACTCCTGTTAGTGCATCCCAGAATCACGTTTGCTTTTTTTTTTGCAACAGTCTCACACAATCGACCCATATTTAGCTTGTGGTCCACTATGACCCTAGATCCCTTTCTGCAGTATTCCCTCCTAGACAGTCACTTCCCATTCTGTATGTGTGAAATGGATTGTTCCTTCCTAAGTGGAGTACTTGGCATGTAGTATTATTAAATACTTATTTAATTATTTAATTTCATCTTATTTACCTCAGACCATTTCTCCAGTTCATCCAGATCATTTTGAATTATGATCCTATCCTCCAAAGCAGTTGCAGCCTCTCTCAGCTTGGTATCATTTGCAAACTTAATAAGCATACTCTCTGTGCCATCATTTAAATTGTTGATGAAGACATTGAACTGAACTGGTCCCAAAACAGACCTCTGAGGAACCCTACTTGTTATACCCCTTCCAGCATGACTGTGAACCATTAATAACTACTCTTTGAGAATGGTTATCCGGCCAGTTGTGTACACACCTTACAGAAGCCCCTTCCAAGTTGTATTTGACTTGTTTATTGATAAGGAGGTCATGTGAGACCGTATCAAATGCTTTACTAAAGTCTAGTTATACCACGTCCACTGCTTCTCCCTTATATACAAAACTTTAATCCTATAAAAGAAAGTTCTCAGACTGGTTTGACACCACTTATTCTTTAAAAATCCCTGCTGGCTGTTACCTATCACCTTGTGTGTATCCTCTTTGGGTAAAGAGGCATTTTTAAAAAAGTCAGCTGAAGACTAAAGGCTGATAGCTTTCTATTCCTTAAATAGACTTTTCCCAGGGTGGGAATCCTTTGTTTTATCTCCCCATCCTGATGGAAAAATACAAGATTTAAGATGGAATCCAGCACCAGGTGTCATGGTCACATGTCTTTCTAGGACCAGCCACAGTTTGGGCTTATAGGGGAAACAAACCCATTTACAGATCATTGTCTTTGCCACCATGCCATTAAGTTTCCTTAAATACAAGTAATGGCTTTCATTAGAAGACTGATTAATAAAACATGTTTACACTTCATATTTCTAACTGCATGTAAAAAAATGATCTATGCATAGAAATACAATGTACACATTCAGCAGATTGTAATTTTAAAATGTCACGATGCATTTTGCATAAAGCATCTTTGAGTTATGAATATTCATAAGCCAGTTTTCATAATGCATGGGGAGCCTGTGTCCAGTGTTCCCTCTAAGCTGCATGGCAGCACTGCTTTACAGGTGATTAATCAGCCTTGCCCAGTCAGAGGCTCAGGACTACCTGCACAGAGCTGACTGATTGGGTAGGGCTGATTAATCACCTGTGAAGCTGTGCTCCCATGCAGCTTAGAGGGGACACTACCTGCTTTAATACAGGCTTAGTGTTCCTGGAATATCCTATTTTGAGGACTTTGCTTGTTACTTATTGGTTAAACAGATGGCCTAATTGGTTAAACAGATGGCCTAAGAGGTAACTTACAATGCTCAACTCTACCTGAGTTTGGCCACAGCATGCTTCCTGTCATTCATACGGAGTTAACCTGTGGAACTCCTTGTCAGAGGATGTTGTGAAGACCAGGACTTTAAAAGGGTCCAAAAAGAACTAGATAAATTCATGGAGGTTAGGTCCATCAGTACTTATTAGCCAGGATGGATAGGAATTGTGTCCCTAACCTTTGTTTGTCAGAGGCTGGAAATGAGTGATAGGAAGGATCACTTGATGATTCCCTGTTCTGTTCACTCTCTTTGGGGCATCTGACATTGACAACTGTCGGAAGGCAGGATACTGGGCTACACGGACCTATGGCCGTTCTTATGAGTCTTTGGTGTTTCTTTTTCCTGTGACTTCCAGGCCTTCATTAGATCCTGTTGCTTTTTTTTTTATTTCCAAAATGTATTCCTTGCTTTCCATTGTGTCCTGATACCTTACAAGAATGAAAAATAACTTTATGCATGTTCATTCAACAGAATCTGTGAACATACCAATGGTAAGACCTATTTTTCGTTGGTTTGCTGCTCTCTAGCAATTTGCTGCTCTCTCTCTCTCTCTTTGTTTCTCTTGACTGTGTTCGACATCTTTCTCATGAAGTTTAGAATTAGTGCTGCTTTTCATGCTGCTTCTATGAACTTTAATCAGTTGCCTAAGAATATTAACAAAGCCCCGCTCCCATTAATTATATGGGGATATGGTATGGATTTCTTTATTAAAATGGCTTAACATGTTCTGTAATTGTTATTGTGACCATTTTTAAGATGCTCCAGCTTATTCTTTGTTTGGCTTTGATAGTTGGCAGAGAGAGAGAGCCCTCAGGCCACAGAAGTACCTTTTTTTTTTTTTTTTTTTTTTGGTCCCATGAAACTCCATGTAAGCTTAGCTGAGAGATACTTTGCGTTTCTTCCTTCATTGTATTTCTCAGAAAAAACTGGACACCGAGTTGTTTTTGTGGATCTTATGCTTACATTGTAAACTCGTAGGGATGCAAACCATTGGCTTTTTCAGCTTAGTTCTTCTTTGAGGGTGTGTCTAGACTACATCCCTTTTCTTGAAAAAGGGATGTAAATTAGACACTTTGAAATTGCAAATGAAGCCGGGATTTAAATTTCTCAATTTTTGAGGAGTACAGAATCTTTCGAAAAAGGGTTTTATTTTCGAAAGATCCCCGTCTAAACTGCCGTTTTTTAAAATCAAAAAGCCCCGTTTAGAAAAAAACGCAGCCACCATTATGCAAATGAAGCACGGGAAATTTAAATCCTGCCTTCATTTGCAATTTCAAAGTGTCTAATTTACATCCTTTTTTTGAGAAAGAGATGTGTCTAGACACAGCTTGAGGGCTGGTACTTATGTGTATTCTATACACGGGCATGTATGGGCACCATATATCTGAGTTTGGAGGTTTCTAGCAATTAGTACCTGTTAGTCCACACTTATACAGTTACTTTCCTTGAGTACCAAACTGAGGTTAAAAGGGGTGATATGGACCAAGTCTTTTCTAGTTCTTTCTTACTGCTGCACAGCATGAGTTGGAATCTTCTTGTGTCCACGGATTTCATCTGTACTACTTAACATACCTGTAAATACATTGTAATTTGTTATTAGCATTTTTGTATAGTTAGTCTTAGTAGAATTTGTGTAATTTAATTTTCTCTTGTCTTGAGGAGTTTCTTCCTGTGAATAAAAACTGTGTCCAGAATCCTAGCATTTAATAACTGCATCTCTTACCTGTGCTGCTTCTCCATGAGTGATGAGCACCAACATTGCTTCTATTGTCTGGGAGAAGTGCATCTTTCTACTAAGTGTGCAACATTTGCTGC